GCATTGAGAGGCTGCTACACGGGCCCTGTTCGGAGGCCCGATGGTTGTTCCAGGCTCCCAGGCCGCGCACCCATTTTTGTTGAGCGACCTGGAGGCCCACAGCCATATTTCACGCCAGGCCCCCAGCATTTATTACTTTTGCTGCATGATTCAGTTTTGGCCATCGTAGGCCAGGTTCAGATTTATCCGTATGTGGGACTGGACCAGGCATTTGTCTGTTTGTGCCAGGCCCAGTCCTCAGGATCCTGCTGCATCAGCACGATTGCCTGGATGTGTCCGGTAGGGACCCAGGCAGGTTGTTTTTTTGCCAGGATCATAGGACCAGGGCTGGGGCCTCAGAGCAGGATCATCGATCGGGCATCAGATCTGACGGTCTCAGATGAGCATGCATCTCTCTCTCTCTCTCTCTCTCTCTCTCCGTGCGTGTGAGTGGCGTGTAGGAGACAACACAAGCATCGAGCTCTAGCTTTACAATGGACAGGGCAGACACACTCTCAGGCAACCAAAAGAAAGGGAAGACCCTGCAATCGACACACAGTACCTGAAGGCAGTTCCAGTGAGGGTCGCCGGATCCATGTTGGTCAGCTTCTTGGTAAGAATATTGAACTGCGCATCCACTGTCAAGAGGGCTGCCTTGTTCATGGCGTTTGAGAACCACTCCAGTCCTTTCTGCCTGTCTGCCTCGCAGGCTGGATCCTCAACCAGACAATTCCAAAGTCGCTCTGTGGTATCCCATGGCAGCCGCAACGACCCAGCCTGTTAAATTGCAACACACCTGTCAACTCTCTCATTCTCTCACACACGTGCACACACCAGCTCATATAACGTACTCACCTCCGTCCTGGATGGCCCAGCCTTCAGTGCCTTCCCCTCCCCCCCCCTCTCTCTCTCTCTCACTCTCTCTGAGACACATGCACACACGGATTATATAACTGTAACAAGAAGTACAAACAAAGACCACATGATCACACCAGCTTTTTGGCAGCTGAACCCTGACTGTACTTACCAGGGACATAATTGAAGAAGGGGAAGTTTGACATCCAGAGAGACTTCTTCACATACCCACAGTTAAGCACTACGCAGTTTTTCAGTACATTTTACTGGGGTACAACGATGGTCCTCAGTATAGGTCACAGATGCACTATTTGACAAGATGCACCATATCACCTGTAGAATCAGTGTAGATCAAATAAATGGAAGAAGATGTGCCCAGAGATATGCTGAAATACAATCGCATCCACAATCAGTTCAGAGTTCGGGAAAACCCCCTGCTGCTGTGTTTGTGCTTGGTCATTGTGTTTTTGTTATGTTAATCGGGTTAACCATATTTATTACCATCATAGGTCTTTGGCATTGCAACCGCGTACCCCGACCCGGACATGTCCTGACCTAGGCCCAGACATTTGTCTGGACTGGTCCAGACGTCCAGTAATCCGGCCAGGCACCGGACAACCAAACAGGACCGGACCCGGACCGTCCGGACCGGTACACCAGACACACAATGTCCAGACCCAAAAAAAAAAAAAAAAAAAAAAAACATTAGTTATAAGCCGTACTAAGTTACTAACCACAGCTTACTGTGTTTCACTATTCACAACTTGACAGCTCAATAGAGTCAATACTGTCACACAGATGTTCACAAAGGCTCACACAACACTAGAAAGCTGAAACCAGTTGTCAACAGACCAATCCCAAGTCACTTCAGAAAAGAGTACAAAAATCAGAAAAAAAAAAACAGAACTTTGAATTTTGAAGTCGGACTTTCTAATTCGTATTCACATAAAAATTGAAAAATTAAACTGTCAAGCAGAGTACAGACGCCGCCCAGCCGGGCCTGCCAGGCCGGGATAGGCCCGGCCGGGCAGGACCGGGTGGGCTGCCCGGGCAAACCGGGCGGGCAAAGAAACAGCCCAGAATTTTTTTTATTTTTTTTTTGAAGGCGGGCGCTCGGCAAGAGGACCCCGAATCTGCAATAAAATTATGGTTTGG